TGTTACATTAACGGTTGGACTCCATGACCTTAAGAGTCTTTTTCCAACCTAAGCGATTCCATGATTTCCTTTTCAAGAAAAAAAGGAAGAAATCCCTCCAAAAACTCCAGCAGCTAGGAAGACTGAGGCCTGCATTCCCCAAGGCTAACGATCTGCAGGAATGATGGCGCCCACCTACACAAAAGCTAGCGCACGAGGCCAAGAGAAGAGTATACTACAGAAGAGCCTTAGACCCCAGTTTAGCTTCTTCCTCCACTTGTAAAACGTTTTTCCCCACATAGCTGTGTGGTGTCAAGTCTAGAAAAAAACTAAGTAGGGCCTTATGCCTAACGCACCGCAGGGCAACTTTAGAGGTTTTTGGTTTTACACCAGAAATACTGGTTCAGCTGGACACTTTTATCTTCTTCCCTGGTACAGCAAGCTCGCTCAAGTCTGGGGTGGTGTTCACCTACTCCAACTAGTCATTATGGATACACTTTTCTCCCCATTTCCAGTGGAATGACAGATAGGCAAGACTGGTAGCACAGAAAGACAGACGCCATCAATTACAAACACGTTAATTCAGTGTACCCAACGCTACCACCTTCTGAAATCCGTGCTATCTGCGCACCAGAACTGCTGCTGTTCACACCCGCACTGGAACTTGCTTCATTTCTGCAATGACTTTCTTTAACCGGCGTGGCAGGTGACCCCCAAGCCATGAAGGCAATTTCTTGCGTGTCTTCTAGCTGTCTGAGAAACACATCGCTGTGAAAACTCCCAAGTGTGGAAGATTGCAAAGGCAAAATTCAAAGGCTTATGAAGAAAACACTTCCTGAAGAACAGAGCCATTTCTCTAATGTTTAAAATAACTTACATACCTTTCCTTGTGCCAAGCTTATTTCTGGCATTTTTTTCTTCTTTGTATGAATCCTCAAAATGAAAGGTGCCCTGACTTTCTTACATCAGCTGCACATTAACATACATACCCAAATCTTCAAAAATTCTGCCCTGAATGTTGGAATAGACTTAACAAGCCCCACCATAAAAATGCTACTGAAAGGCAATTAAAAAAAACTCACACCACGTTCTTGTAACAAATAAAGTGAAGACAGCTGCATGGTGCACTGCACACCAAACATTTCCCAACCCAGAAACCCTGGTGATGCTAAAAGGAATACAATGAAAAGAACAAAAATTGCAAGATGCTTAGCCATCCTAACCCGAACAGGAATTAAAGTAATCCATAACTGATTTTACTCACGCACTTAGCATTTGAACCCCTGCCAAGAGGCATTCAAAATGCATGTTTATTTTGTCTCCTTGACAAAATAATGGATACTAACCATAAAGATTTCTACCTTTCCACACTGCAGGCCCTACTCCAAGTTGAGAGGCAGTGCACTTCACCAACCCTTCGTTGTCACAGCCTCCAAAAATGAAGTGTTGAAGTTCCAGGCATAACAGCTTTACTAGATCCGAACCTCAGCACACTTTCTGAAAAATTCAATCACAGTAAGAAAAGGTTTGTCACCCCGCTAGAAGCAGGAAGAAGCATTACATCACCAGCAACTGTAGTACCATCTCACAGCCAAAAGAAGGAACGGGGAACACTGCAACAGGCATCTATAACCAAATACAACTGGCACAGCTCAGCAACCCGCAGCACGGATGGGGCGGACGGCTGAGTAACAAAATCCCTCCTTTCTTCTGTCTCCCTGACGTATCAGAGCTACGATGGAGAAGGACAGCGTGTCTCAGCAACCTCACCACGGCAAGGTTTCTAACGACAACAGAGCAGGGCCGCTGGCAGTCTTGTGAGGTGGAGTTCGGCATTACTGTCTGCAGTTCTGACGCCACGCGGATCAAGCCCTAACAGCCTATGTTCAGGAAGATTTCATGAAGAGTATGGAAAGCTGGCCTCGCCAGTATTTTGTAACAGGGCTGCATTATAAAAAGCACAGGAGTAAGAGTATTTTGCAACCATCTTACATAAAACTGAGAACAAACCCCTCTTGGAAATGTTAAGTATCAACTTGGGTAAATCAAGACAATCACAGGTAGACATTTTTTCCCAAATCTTTGGCTGTATTGCAATGGTTGTTTCAATTTGTAATCTCCAACTAAACATTTCCTATCCATGGATTAACAATATATTTACTGACTTGTGTCTTTTAACAGTATTTATCCAACATAACAAAATAAACTGCAATTTGTTATACTTTTTTTTTTACAAAACATTTTATAAATATTTTTACAAAATGTATACAAAGCAATTTCAAGTGAGACATACTTTACAAATGAAGGTATTTAAGCAAATAAAGTCCATACCACACTGACAATAAGTGACACATCCTCTTTAAGTGAAGTCAGTCTGTAAGGCCTCCCTAATCTAACAGATAAATTACACTAAAATCTTCAAAACGAACATCATTTTCTTAATTGCCAGTTTAAAATTGGTTTTAATATTAGGCAGTATTAAATAACATCGAAATCACAATGCTGATCCAGCAAAATAATGAAAACATGTTTCAAGTCATGCACATTCACAATACTTTGCTGGACTTGAGCCCATATGATTCATAAATTCATATTATTATTTTTTTTTAAGCACAACAAAAATACAATTCTTTCATTTACTGGTTCACCACGTACCAGAATTCCTTTAGAACTGAATTCAAAGGAGTGAACAACAGAACATCAACAACCTAAGATTAATCTTGCTAGGATTGTTCAATGGGTTCCCCTCATAAGTAGTTCAGAGAAATGTGTCTGACCAAATCAACCAGGATTACTTTCTGTAATTTGCCTGGGTTTACATGCTGTTGTTCCCCATCCCCAAATGAGATCCAAGAGAAGACACATAGCCTGACACTTCAAGTACATATTTGCTGTAGAGAGGCTGGAAACCCCATACCCATTCTGAGGTGGTACAAAAAGCAAGTGGATCAATGAATGTGCAACTTGACTTTTTTTTTTCCCTATAAAAGAAAAATATAAGTAGTTAACACACAGCTGTGTAACTTACTGTTTTCCTTCCTCGATAGTTTGGAACAATTAAATTTCCAAAATAATAAAACACGCACCAGGATACACAGCCATGAGCATATTATTAAATCTAAAAAGGCAATAGGTGAAGACTATATTGTCAGTTTTGCCAATAAGAAAACAACCAACCGCCTGAGAGTCTATTCTATGGACACCTAACTAAAAATTTAAAACTGGCAATACTTATTATTACCTTGAATATCTTATACAACACTTGGGAATGTTGGGTTCTTACAAACGTGTACTTTAAAATTGGCACAATGTTTTTTAAATGGCAATTAGTAACATACAAAACCAGTATTTCCATTCACGTTGAAGGGGAAATGAATTGTAAGTTAGTTCCTCTTTCTCACATTGCTTTCCAGATTTGGTTTCCTTTAGTGGACTGACAGTGGACTGTAGCTCAATACTGCATTGCACTGTAACTATCACAGGGACCTAATCCTGCTTTCTTTCAAGCTGCTCAGATGGACTGAATTACGTGACAGCAAAGCCTTCAGTTTTCTTTCCTGGCAATCTGACTGACAACCACAGCTTGTTCACAATGAGCCTCTCTATTAGGAAAACTGTGATCAGCAAGTCTGATGGTAATGGCTGGTCATTTTTCTAATAAACCAGGGAGAAGGTCTGGGGGAGAACACGAGCATACCTTCGAAACCACAAAAGCTATATCCTCCTGAGCAGACATATGTACTACACGCACGCTGACAACTGTCAGCATACATATGTGCACAAAAGCACTCATGACCAAAGTAAACGAGGAAAAAGCAGCATGGGCAGCAAAAAAAAAAAAAAAGTCATAGATTAAAATAAATAAATAAAATAATAAGATTCTATCTTAACAACATGACAGCAAGCCAAATACAAACCATGCAATGGTTTCACTTGGCTCTACAATATGAATTAATAATTACACATTTTTCGATATGTTTAAAAAATGGGATTGATGATCGACTTTGGTCTGTACATATCTTGATAATTATGACTGCTACGGTGGATGATTTAACATTCTCTGACAGCAAAAAGCAAAAACAAAAAAATCAAAAATAAACACTGGCCTTTAAATTTCATCAGAGTAAGGCTAATGTCCTGTTAAAATATAAGCTACAAATATCATAACAGCTTGCAAATAAAAGTGCTTTTGACACTTGGTCTAAAAAAACCCAACAAAACAAACAAAAAAACCCCAAACAATAATTAAAAAAAACCACATTTATACCACTTCAGAAAGACTCAAGGCTGACTACATCCAATTATAAAACGCAAAATCTCTTCCTCAAGAGTTAACATATATATGTATTATATATATAAATTCATGGCTCTATCATGGCCTCATCCTGTACACTTTGCCACTTACTGGCTTCCATTCTACCTTCCTTAGTCAAGCATTTATCACTTCGTATCATGCCACCGTGACTAAGATCATATAGTATCAACCCACAGACTAAAGTTACCCACTACAAATATATCATCAAGTACTAGTTTCCGCTCAGAAAGCAATAGAAAAGCACTTTAAGTTCAAATTACGAAGCCTTGTAAACACACTGATGATATCCTTCCAACTTAAGAATCCTAGAACACAGATTCATTAACAGAGCAAACAATCACTTCTGAAGAGAGGTACAGTGGGTTTTCCAGAAAAACTAAAAATCTGATGATTTGTGGAAGAGAAGGGTAAGGGAGAATTGTTGCTTCCATCGCTTTTTAAAAACATCATCTTAATAAATATATCCTTTCAAATGACTGTGATTGTCAGTATATTACCGTATTACATAGGGCCTGACGACCTGCAACCTTGTTATGCTGCAGCACTGCACAATTATCAAAAGCACTATCATCATAATACTTGAAATAAGTAAGGCCCTAACAGACTGCATTCTACCAAGGATTAACTTTACTTGGGTCTCTCACTGTAACCACAATGAGTATTGCTCTCAAACACAGAACAGAATCTAGTTTAGAAAGGTTAACCTTAAATGCATGTCAGGCTGTACTTGTGGTGTCATTCACATTTGCTTCTGCTAAGAGAAACGTAACTTGTCCATGGTAACTATTAACACTCTAAGATACTATTTACAGCTGCTTCTAAAATAGAGTCAGTTTCTACAACACCTTCACTGTGGTCTGGAATAAATTTTTCCAGGCAGTTTTCCTGTGAAGCAATAGGCGAAAAATTAGGAAATTCTAATTCCACCGAGCCGCTACTTGTCGCCTCATTTTGCGGCTGCCTCCCAGCTTTTTTAAGTTCCAAGATGTTTTTAAATGTAGTTTCTAAACTCTTACTGAGCAGTAAGTCTTGCTGGGGTTCACCAGAGCCTTTCCTGTTATCAGGCTGTAAAACCTCATTCTTTGGAGAGCTCCTCAGAGTTTTGTCTTGGAGGGAATTATTACACGTTACCTTTGAGAAAGGCTGAACTGTGTTCCTTGATATTTTATTATGTGTCCCGTGAGCGCCTCTTGACACAGCTTTTGACAAGTCTTCTGAACTCGAAGAGTTCTCAGTGGACTTGGCAAGATCTTTCCCAGTCATCTTTTCTTCACAAAGGGCCGTACACTGGCTCTCCGAAGAACAATTAGCTTTTTCGAACTTTAAAGCTTTAGCGAGGCCCTCTGTTTTTTTAGTAGAAGCTACTCCTTCTTGTGGTGTCAGAATGTTGTTAGGCACTAGAGGAAGTTTACTGTGATTTGTGGATTCTGCTGAGCTGGGTTTTGGTCGGTCTCTGGCTTGGGTTTTGGTGGTCTGACTTCGAGAAGGTAATGTTTTGCTAGACTGATGGTCACTTTTGCTGGACTGTGCTTCTTCAGCGGCTTTATCAAATTGTTTGGCAGAACAACAAAAATCGGCCTGATAACCATCTGAAAATGAAGTAACAACATTTACTTAAATTACCTACGCATCAAAGTAACAGACACTCCAATGTAGTATTAAAGTCCAAGTAACATCCAGAGCCTACAGATTCCCGTCTTTAAGAGACATACACATGCTTGAGTGTTCTGCTGTGCCCAGTGTAGGAGATTATCACCAAATTAATCAGCATACTATGTGCTGCAAAACCAGACTGAGGGTACTTGCAAGCATTCCAAATATGCAAATACGGTATCTGGAAGACTAATACTTCCTTCAGTACAGCCTCTGAATACCTTTTAAAATATGCAGACTACGTAGAACATCTAAACAAACTAACTGTTATCTTACCTGAATAATGTGTTATTAGTTGCTACATTCAACACAGACTCCTTACAAAGGCTGCCATTTAAGTGGCCACGACATTCCAAAAGCAATACTTCATTAGGATGAAAAAGATGCTTCATACAGCAGTGCTCTTCTGGACTGCCAGCAAACCCACAGACTCTTCCCTACCAGGGCTGAGACCATGCAGGAGTCATGGCTATTGCCTAAAGTAACTCAGAAATACTTCACTGCCAAACAGGCCAAATCTGGTTTTTCACCAAGTAACTGCCTTCAACCTTACAGTGTCTCTAGATTAGCGAATTTGGGAGTTACTAAAATTTAACTTGCAACTGTTCATTCAGTATCTCCATTACTGGAACCCCTAGCAATCAGTGCCTCACTGTGGCCACAGCCATTTTTAAATACTCCATACTTAACGCGGCTTTTGTAAAATGCAGGGGTTAACCATTACTTACCAGGATCCACTAGTGCAAGACGCTTATCCCGGGTCAGAGATGCTCTTTCTTCCTGGTTAAACATCCTATCGATCATAACCATTTCTGCAGAGGGATTTATCCGCTGCAGGAAAAGGAAAAAAAAAACCACAACCATCTCTGTAGTCACTCCGATGCTGGTACCAAACCAGAACATTTATAGCTTGGTTACTCTTCAAGAAAAATCATGTCTTCTATTAGGTATCTGAAGAGAACATTCAGAATTCCACAGCATCTTCAGCGACCCTGACTGTGACCCCAACCATTACTGAAACTCAACCATAAAATATTCTTCCCATTTTACAGTACATGTTATTTGCTAGAGATTTCAAACAGAGAATTAATAAGACTTGTACCTTTTCAGGACTGAGCATGTCTACCACTGTACACCACAATTTTTTACATTATGCAGTAGCTTTCTCTTTTAAAGAGAAAACCAGTAAAAGTCTTGCAATGGGACTACGCTATCACCTTGCTTCCTCCCACGTTTCTCTCCCCTCCTTCTGAACTAGTTGGTGCTGAGTTGCATTCTGCTGCTGATGCCTTCAAGTTAGGTGGATTCATCCACCACAGCAGGAAGCTCACTGGCTACTACGTCACAACACAGGCAACTTGTTCCAAACCTCATCACCTCTTCAAAATGCCTGACAGGGATTTACCATACAATATACCAGATGCTAAAAGAACAGCTTTTAAACTCCATCCCTGCTTTTCACCTGCAATTACTTGCAAATATTTGACAGTTAGTATCTTTTTAATGGGACTGCTAGATACCAAACCCACATGAATTCTAACACTTATATTACAAATTCCTGTCTCTAAAGCAGAGGGATTTAAGTGTCTATTATAGTCAAACTCAAAACTTTTCCAGGCTTGAAGATGCCACAGTGACATTTCCTGATCTTTCTTGAAGTGACATTTTTTGTTTTCTTTTTGCCTCAGGTCTAGTAGTTGTGAAAGCTCCTAAATCAGAGGCATTTCTGATGAAAATGTGAGGCTCCACCTAGCTTTTAAGGAGAAGTAATGACTTCCTGAACTGTAATATGCTGTAGCTCAACTATAATAGGGGCTGGAGGCCTCTGAATGGAGCTGTTCAACATTCTTTCAGGCTCTACCACCCACAGAAACATACAGAAATCACCTGCCTGACTACCACAGCCTGTTCAGTGCAAGAGCAGAGTATAAGCAGAGCAGAAGTTCACGTGTCTTAAACATCTATGGAACTTATACATAACAGCACCCTTACTTAGGCAGTATGTGAAATACAAACTCAACCCATTTCACTCATTTTAAGATGTGTGCGTATGCTTCAAAACGTAGACTGGTCACCGAGATTGTCGGTGCAGTAACAAGTACACTGGCTAGACATATGTTATCTCCAAAACCTTCACATTCATTCAACACCTTCACAAGGTGATCAACAGTATCAATAAAATGAATTGTAACGCTAGCTCTCACCTTACTTTTAACAAACTCAATCACAACCTATTAAGGCAAAATGTGGCTGGGTGATACACCTTACCATTGCATCTTCTATAAGCAAACATCTGTATTTGTTCAGCATAGCCTGTGTCCTCTTCAGAAGCTGTGTAGCGACAGATTCAAATTCACTATCCACTAGAAAGACAAGAGCATACTTTCAAACACTGTTCTTCAGTAACCTGCACGAATTTAAAAATGTTCCCTTTCTTATTGTTCCAACTTACATAAAGAATTATCTCAATCCTTTGATTACAAACATATTGCCAATTTCATAAAATGAAAATTACCTTTCCGTAAGTCTTCCTCTGTTGGCAGTGATCCCTGGCACACATGGTATGAAAGGAGTCTCTGAACAGCATCATTTAATGATCTGAACCGACTTTTATCTGGTGTCACAGCATGCACTTGATCCTTCTGCAATTGCTGTAGGATACTACAAGGAAAATTAATGATACATAATTAACACATACTCTTACAGAAGTTTATACATTGACAGAAACAAAAAAGAAATTAAGGTTAGAGGAAATTTCTGCAACAAAATTACAGAAGAATGACTTACAAAGCTCCTTTCGTTAGCTGTTTAGCAGCGGGTCTTTTCTGTCCAACTAAATGGCCATCCACCTAAGTTCAAAATAGAAGAAAATTACAATATATCCCCTCCTTTGCAAAGCCTATGTTTCAGCATTTATTTCTGCCCACTATCACCAATCCTAAGTGTAATCACCACGTAAGTAAAAACACTTTCAACTATCTTGTATTTCCACAGGGTACTGTAACAATGAAATAGGGAAGTCACTCTTCCTACATACACCCAAGGTCTGATGTTGTTTGCAGGCAAATTCCACTGTTGTACATACACAGGCTTCACTAGCAAAAAGCTTGATTATTAAATTTAGCAGATGAAAAGGAAAAAAGGTACGAGTGGAAGCTTTTCCAAAGAAATTTGCTCTTAAGAAGTGTTTCTGCATTTCTCAGCTGGCGTCACCTTGCCTGATTTTGATGGGTTAGAGTATCTGTCAGGAAAGCAGGCTAAAGTTGCGTACTTAAATTCTCAAAAGCCATAGTGGCTGGTAAAAGTGGTTTTTGTAATTCTTTTTGGTGTCGATGCTATATATCAGGCAGATCCACCTGATCTTCTTACCTTAGCCATTTAAGAAGCCAAGTTTTTTCAAGGAACACTGTCCTAAGATGTAAGGCCCTCCGAGGCAGTAAAGGCTCACGTTGCTACTGCACGAGAGGCCTTACTGCAATACACGTATTCTCCCAAAGAAGCCATTCTGGATCAGAGTCTTTGTTTAATATGAAGTTGTTGGGGTTTTTTAGTCAACTACTCTTACTAATGAAATCGGTCACAGAGCAAGGTGACTTATGAATTACAAAAAGATTGCATGAAAGCTCTTTTGAACTATGACACGGTTAGAAGAACAAGTAAGCATGTTGTACAAAGCATCCTTCTTAGCAAAGCAGGAGCAGCATCAAGCAGGCACACTGCAACGGTACCTGCTGGCCAGAAAGACCCTACCTTCAAGGCGTGAAAAGTATTTACTACCACAGGAGAATGAACACCTGACCAACAATTACAAAATCAGGCTGAACTCATAGTTGAGCACTACTGTGAGTATCTTCTGCTCTACTTGTACACCAGTTAAGACAGGAAAAAACATCCGTGTCACACTACACTGACAAATCCATTTTCAGTGAGGAACAAAAATACTAAATCGGATCCTCCCTTGTTTTTTCCCATGATTGTGCAGTTTAGTTCCATCCACAATGAATCCCACATTTTCAAGCCTATGTCAATCACTTGTTTCTTGCCCTCAGCTACTCAGTCTATGAATGTAACGACTGTCTCCTACCCCGAGAGGTTCTTGTAGACCCTTTCCAAAAAAGCTGGCCTCCCCTTCCCTCCCCAAACCCTGGACGTTGTGCTAAATTTTTGTACATAATTACCACATACGGGAGAACTTTAGTTGGTTAAAAGAGTCACTGGGGAAAGACAACAATGCAGTAAAGAATAAACCAGACAAAGGCCAGATGGAATTTTTCTGCTACATCTCACAAACAATCTCCTTCCAAACTGCTAGAGAATAGCTGAGTTCATAAGAAGTAATGGTAAGAGTAGATCTAAGTTACAGCCAACTCAATGAAGAATTGCTCTGTCATGTATCTTCAGGGAATAGTACAGTCAGACTCCACTTACCGAAATCTCGAAACAGCATTCAGAATATCAATTTGCAAAATACTCCCTGTTTATTATGTCAAGGTAGAATTTGACAAGCCTGAGAGACTTCATATACTCTAAAAAAACCTGCAAGGACTCCTAGATTATGGAGTTGAAACATCCCTAACTTCACTAAAATTTTACGGGAAAGGGAAACATGTAAGTATTCTTTACCTGTATACTCTGCTGAACTGATGATGATCCTATTACTTTTTCTTGTGGCTGTGCAGTTCCTAGAGACTGCTGTATTATTTTTCCTCCAGAGTCCTGTCCTGTAAGAAACATGTTAAAAGGACTGTCATCCTAATCAAGAACAGAACAATTCCATGTAAGTATCCTGATCACATTACTTGAGTTTTCAGCTTTTAGGAGAACGATACATGTCTCATATGCTTAAAAGCATTAGTGAAACTACGCTGTGGTGAAACTGGCCCATAAAAATGAAACAGAACGATATTCTGGGGATGCAAACTACAAAAATCCTCAGATACATATCACATTCTACAACAGTACTGCAATGTAAGAAGAAATTCAAGTACCGTATTTAGAGTGTCCCAACAATTTACTGAAAATCATACAGTACATTTCATCAAGTTTTTCAATACTAACCCTCCCTTAAGCATATAAACCCAATTTTTCTAGAGCTTCTGAAAGCATTTAAACAGCAGGCATCATTTTTTTTTCCCTGGGTTTTCTACATGGGCAGATTTCTTCCAACTGCCTCGCTCAGGGAATTCAAACAGCATCTTACAAGCCATACTACGTTACAACCAACAAAATAAGATTTTTTATTTTCCAAAAAAAAGCGCCCACACTGTGCTGACTGTAGAGAGTTGCCTGGACAGCTTGCACACACCAGAACACAAGAAAAAAAAAAAAGGCAGGTTATTATTACAGGACCTTATTCAAAAGGATTACTTATATATAAAGAGAACATGAAGGTTACAACATTTTTCTGGTTTTACATATACTGATTTTGTTCTTGTAGTAGCATGGTACTGCTTGAGAAGTCCATTATCTGGCCACGAACAATGCATTAAATATTCTACCTCAAAGTGACACATTCAAAACCAAATCAAGTGATGACAGCCTGCACATAACCTTGTAATCGCTAGCTTTCTTTCCTCTGTATCTGCAGCAGCCATCACGAGAGGGTCTAGAAGTTTCATATGATTTTTAGCAGATGTCCATACTCTGAAAATTACTTACTTCTATTTTCCTAAGCTGAAAAATAAAATAAAATTTAAAAAAATAAAACAGAAAAATGAAAGCAGGCACAATTTTGGATTTTGTAGAAGGGAGAAATAATTGCCTATTGTGGAGATTCACCTTTTCACTCTACGAAATGGAGTGCCGATGTCAGGAAAAATAAAAGCACACAATCTCCTATAAATAAAATTCTGATAAGCCTCTGGACCCTATCAGCATGAGCCATCAATGCAAGTCTGACACATGAAAGAACCACCCACTTCTGTTGCTGGAGAAAATTAAGAAAATGATTTTAAAAAGACCTTAGTTGACCTGATAGTGTGTTGCTCAGAAGACTTGTTAGCTGAGGCTGCCTCAAATTATCCTGTGTCTTCAATGCAGATACTGGTGATGTCTGGTTCATAGCTTTTTTCTGTGACACATACATTAAAAAAAAAAAACAAAACAAACAAAAAAAAACAAGCAGTCAAACACTTACTGAAAGCTTTAACAAACAGAGGAAAAAAGAAAAAAAAAAAAGCAAGTAAAATTCATCTCTACACATCCTTTTTCAACCTCAAACTCCTAACTGGTGAAATTTCAGACACCTCAATTCTTCGTAAGTTCAAGAATTTTATGAAGTAAATCAGCAAGAACGAGAAATTACACTAACAGGACAAATATACACCAGTTACATTCTATAAAAAACGTAATTTACCACTACCAGTCGCCCTCAGACAGCTCAGCTTTTGAGAGTCCCAAAACTGCAAGAAGACTCAATAAGCTGTCTCCACAACAAAAAAATACACAGTGGAACAACGTGTCCAGTGTTTAGCAACTAAATTGTACATGGTTTACAACACAGTACAATACTTAAAATGCAAGTACAAAGAAACCAAAAAGACTCTAGTAAGTAGAACTTGTCCTCTGTATTTCCCTTTTCAGCTCTGAAATTCCAGCACAAAACCAAAATGATCTTTTGCAGCAATAAGAAATATTAAGCTTTTAGAACTGCTGAAACTCACTGACCCAGCACATAACCTATGACTAGGAAGATGTGAACACATGAAGATAAAGTCAGACAGGAGTCAAATTACTCGTCTGCAAACAAAAAGTTAACAACCTGTGCTAGCAGTTTTGGCAAAGACTAAAAACGTAGTTCTGTGACACATTCACACTTATTTTCTAAGACAAATTATTCTATTGCCAACTTTGGTCTTGGCTAAAAGAAGAAATCCTTTAGACCTTTGGGAAAAGGGAAAGATGCAAGATAATTAGGGCAAATGCTTTCTGAGATAGTTATTATCAGCATTTTATAATGACCGGGGGGG